GCCTCGCACACCTACTAGGACTCATTACAGCCTTTGTAATCCTCTTAGTTAGTTTCGTGTGACATACTCTGTTCCAGAAATCCATTTGTCAATGCTCATTTCCATTTTCTTGCGATTATTTTTTACGTCATCATTTCATGAAGACAAACTAAACCACTCGGCCTTTTCTTATAGATGAACATTCTAAGCGCGCTTACTTCTTATTTTGACGAAACAATCATCGATAACTGGTCTCACATTAGTTGCCTTGAGTATTTAGCAAAAGTGTGTCCATATCTAACGTCAGAAGACCGTATTGAAATCCTTGATAGTTACAAAGCTAAATTACGCTCAATAAACTTAAGTAAATCAGTGCTTCAAAAATCAAGGACAAAGGCCATTAAGCTCATTGAAAATGCAGATCGCTCATTTAAACGTAATGAAGTTACTTTGTTTTTCGAAGAATTAGACACACGGGTATGTTAGTCGATTATTATTAATTTGTGTATACATATGAAGACTAATTTATTTGATAGGTTAATACGAATGCCACAAATAATCTCGCAAATGCAAAAGGAAATTTGCTTGAGTCAAAGCTGAGGGTCCATGCATTCAATAACATTATCGATCTTGAATCTGGCGAAGATCCGGTGGCGAGCAGGAAAAGAAAGCATAGTGAGGAAGGAGATGGTTCAAAAACACCGCCACTTAGATCTCCTCCGAACGAAGATTCCCTTCTTGATACTCCGAATAAACGTCAGATGTCTGACGAAAAAATTATTAAGTGAGTTCGTGTTTGCAGTATGTTTCTGATTTTAGAGCAACTTTATTAATTAGATTATTTTATTGTATGCTAGCTATCTTAATGCCATGGAGCAATCATTGAAGCAAAATCAAGTCACCGTTCAGACGCCTTCTTTGTGGACGGAATCTCTAAGTTCTTATATCGACAAAGTTTTGAAGGTGTGTTTCCACAAATATTAGTTAGTGTTATATTGGAAGTGACAGCGACTTAGCTACCCATTTACAGAAATCAGGAGACGAGTTTAAGACGGAGATTATGCGGAAAATAGAGGGTGACGAAAGTAACGAGTTTCGTCTTTACTGCGAAAAAGTTCTAATGGACTTGTGAGTTGTCATTTATTGCTGTTCTTTCGATGATTAGACGCTTGGTAATCTTTCTTCCTTGATTCCAGCTATAATCTAGTAGATATATTTCCGAATCTTTCGAGAAAAATAGGTGAAAGAAAATATATTGTACAAAATATTTCTTCGTTATTTAAATTTTACGAATCCACGTTTGGAAATTTGTATTTCGACTGGATTGAGACGCATTCACCGGCATCTAAATTAACAAAATCACGTACTTACTCCGGCATTGTCAAGGTGGATGCGAAAGGTGAGCAAAAAAAGTTTATTTATAATTCCTCCTTACCTTATCATTCAACAACGGTTCTTTAATTATTCTAACTAATCCTGGAAGGCGTTCGGGTCTTTGATGATAAAGAGATTTTCCACGCTGAAGTATCGGGTCCGCCGTCGTCGTCGTCATCACAACATGGACATGCTGTCAACGATACAACAAAATCTATACATACTGACATCTTGAACCTGATTGCGATCCTACTTGACCACCTTCGAGCTCCGGTAGAAAATGCAACTAAAATAAAAGTTTTTAGTTTGCAAGCAATTGGTAAATATCTTGTATTTATTTTAAAAAGGCATTTTAAGTTAATGATTTGTATTTTAATTAATTATTAGAATATCGTATAACGTTATACTCGCTTAATATGTCAAAAAATGGTACTTTTTTGACTTCCGAATTGTATTCTACCTTGTTACCATTTTCATTCGATGCAATATCAAAGTACAAGGGAGTCCTCTATATGATGGCGATTTTCCACGTAAGTAAAATTATTGCAATCATAATTTTTATTAATCTTTAGTCATTCACAAACTTCTATGGTTTCCAGGAAGAGATTACGAAACAAATTTCAATTATGAAAAATCTTGATTTAACAATCGGTCATAACGAAGGAAGTACAGTTCGGGACGTGTTAAAAATCCCAAAATCTTTGAAGGATCTTCAT